ATCAGCTCAGGGAAGCCTCTGACCTCAGCCCAGACACTACTGCTGTTCCAGAGACAAGTTTGGAGATTAACGTGACTGCTGCAGCACTCAATGCCACTGGAGTTCACTCTACAGAGGTGGAGGATGTCTTCATCTCTGCCACCCCTGTGGTTGGCACCAAGACAGAGAGACTGCAGGCTTCCACGGCTGCCAGCCCCACAGGCATCACAGTCATACAACGTGAGCACCACAACATGAGCTTGTCAGCTAACAGCACTGAAATCCCCTCCCCTGCCTCAACAGTGAGTACTCTGGAAAAAAACCCGTCTGACCACAAAGTCTCAGAGCCCTTCAGTGCAACTGAAGAAATGGACGATGCCAGCAGTGCCACCCCAACACCTCCTCCGAATAGCGTGCCCGGTGAGGTTCTGCCTTTCATGACTGCACAACCTGGGGTCTTCGGGTGCTGAATGGCTCTGCACCCACAAACTCTTGTGGGAACCAGAGATGGGGGGAAGTAGAAATATCCCTTTCAGTGGGACTGAGCTGCAGAGGTGCTCTTAGTTCAGCATCCTCCCTGCAAATCCTGTCAGTCGTGGCATTAATTTTGTTGCCTGCTTGCTTAGACGTTGATTCATGTGTGCAGGCCACATGAAAAATAAGTGGGCTTTTTAGCACCGTGCCCTACAGTGTGTCTCTGTGCCTGTGCTATAGGACTCTTGCTAGCCAAAGTGTTGTCAGTAAGCTGCTATTCTTATAGTCCCCCAAAGTCTTCTTTACAACCTTGCTTCCATCTTATCCAGTCCTACAGCACAATGCACTTGCACTTTATCCTTTTAAATAATTGTTTGTCCCTATTCTGCAGCAACAATCAACAGATCTCAGCTGGAGCCGACTGATGGGCAGACCACCATACCCACAGCAGCAAGAGCTGAAACCAGGCCAGGAACGAGCCCTGCAGTGGCCACAGAGGTGGAGCCCTCTGCTCCCGTTTCCACTGTAGGGAGCACATCCCCTGCCAGCACCTCCAGTACTGTTATGATGAGACTTCCTGTGACCAGCTCTCCTGCTGCCAGCACAGCCGCCATCCCAACCAGCACATCTCCAGTGGGGCAGCAATTGGAGCCCGTGCATGAGAAAGCTTCTGTGTTGGATGTTGGTGATGATGAAAATCCAGGTAAATGCTCTGCACTTGTCCGTGCTCTCGCAAAACACTGCGAAGGGTTGCGGGTACCTCAAATTTCCTCTTAGTTGTGCTGAGCAGAACAACTGTGAAGACTGTCACCTGGCCCCATTCCTTTGCAGAGCTCCCGAGTTCTCCTGCAGTGAGGGCTGACCCCTTGGTAATCGCAGTGATCTCTGTCTTCGTTGTCATGGTGGGCATCCTGGGCTTGGTGGGCTTCCTGAGATACCGGCAGCACAACAGCCGCATGGAGTTCCGACGCCTGCAGGACCTGCCCATGGTGAGCGATGCCTCAGCACTGCCTTGCTCCTGGTTTTCAGCTGCCTGGCAATTCTCTTTCTACTGAATTGGCCATGTTTGGGGTATTTGTAGAAGAAGGATGCCAGTCACAAATCCTGCTCCCTCTTAGGTCTCTCTCCATCCATCCAGGGTTTGCATTGAGATGGCAAGTCTCATGGATGGCCACTGAAGCTCTCTGCCTTCCCCTCATTCTGCAAGGGACACTAAGAGGTTAAAGAGAGAGAAAGAGGGGAGTGCCATCCAAATTTTCCCTCAAACACCACCTTGCTAATCTGTTCTCTTGGATTCCAATGTATTTGCTTTGTGACTGTGACAAAGCAAATTTAATGCTCTGTTCCAGGGGAGGTTGTCTGTCTGTCTACATTTGACCCTTCGGTGATATAAAAAGATACGAAGGGCTCAGAGGTGGGGAGGCAGCAATCTGCAGAGGTGCACTGATGCCCTCCTGCAGCTAACTGCAAGCATGTGGATGTTGTCACAACCTGAGTGGTGTTCTCCACAGCCATGCACACAACTCTTCTCTTCAAAACACACAGCAGGACAGGAGAGCGAGTGTCCAAAGACCCACTGCAAAGGAGTGATGTTGATGGTTGGGCAAATGGTGACACTGTGACAGAGGGGATGGTGAGGCTGGGGCTGTTCATTATGCAGGCATCCCATTAAAATGAGATAAAATTAAAATACTCTTTTCTGCTTCTAGGATGACATGATGGAGGACACCCCCCTCTCACTCTACAGCTACTAGGTAGCCAGGCTGCCTCTGCTTGGAGGGCTGAACTTCCCACAGGAGAAAGCCTTGAGGCCTTGGTCCCAGACAATCTGCTGACAAATGAGGGGGCTCTGACTTGCACACAACTGAAAGATTGTTTTCAGACGGCTTTTGGTTTTTAGATATTTTAAATAGTTCAGTTTTGAAATTTTTATGCTGGAAATCAGAGCCCAGGTCTGGCTTATTCGTCTGGGCTCTTCTAGAAAAGATATCCCAAAGAGGTGCCTCCTCCTTTTAGCATGGTGACCAGTTAGCAAAGACAACCTTTACCGTCGTGTTCTGCATGGAGCTCTTCTGTCCATCTTGACAGCTGCTGCTTTCAGAGGGGACAGATGAGTGAGCCATGCAAAAGCTGTTACACTGGTGGAGTCAGCACAGGAGACTGCTGTTTGCTGAGGGAGCCAAGGATGTGGAGATTTGTTCTCTTATGCTCCCTCTTGTTCTCTTGGTTGGTTTTTTTTAAGTTCTGGTTTTTTTCCCTTGCACTTTTTTGTTGTTATTGTTTCTGTTTCAGCTTTAGTCCTGGGCTTGGCACTGCCTATCCTGAAACACCTCCCAGGATGATGAGAGACTGCCCTGCTTCCTTCCTACATGTACACCTTTCCTTGTTAAGGGAAAACAGTTATGTGACTACTCAACAAGTACTGCTTAGAAATTGCTGGAAGGACACTGGCATGATTTTAGCTCAACAGGGCTTGTCAGAACTCACTCAATTGCCAACCAGACACACTAACTTAGTCTCACCACAATTAGAAAACTGGGTCTGCCATACTTGCTGCTTTCAGTGTAAGCTATTGCCCAGGCTTTAAAAATGCTTTAGTCCACATTTCTGTCGGGATTTACACATCTTTCTTCAGATACCTCCCATTTTGCTGCTGGGATCTGGTTTCTGAAAGCTGTTATATAAAACTAATACTGCACTGTCCCTCCTACCAGCACAAGGTCAAAGCTCCTTTGTAACGTTGGCCTTTGAGCCAGTTAGTGTCCTGTTCTGAGGACAGAACCTGGTTGTAGTGCCTTCCTCCCTTCCCTTTCTAGGTGTTAGGCTGATTAGATTCTGCACTTTTGCCTCAAAATATCACTGGTGTAAACTGCAAGGCTTTAAGATCCTGCAAGGAAACCCACAGACCAGATCCTCTGAGTGCAAGTCTGAGGGTTTTCAGGTGCCCTTCCTTCAGACAGAGCGGTTAGTGCGTGGCATGGAAGTCTTCATGTCATGAATACTGGCTCCTGTTTTCTAATTCACATTTGATTGTGGGTAAAGAGAGGCATGTGCCTTCTCAAGAGCACTGGGTTTCTGACTCAGTTGCTCCCGCAGGACACAGCAAAGGCTAGAAATTACATACAGTTATCTCCCACACTGCTCCTAGAAGCCTCTGTTTCTCCTTTTTCAGTAGCAGTGCTCACAGAGCCCACAGACAATGCATTATAAGACTCACTACCAAAAGTATCTCTCTTTTTTCCAGTGCTGTTACTATTCTTTTCAGCAGGGAAAGGGGAAATTCCCCTTGAAATGATTTACAAAGCCCAAAGATGGAGCAGAAGTGGTCAAATGGATGAACCAAGTAAGGCAGCAGTTCCTCCTTGCGAAGGGCTGACAAGTGGCTGCCGTGCAGTTCGGGTTCAGCTGTTGGCTTTGGCCTTGCGTCTGTTTATTGTAAGGGTGCCCAGTACAAGAGGGAAGGACGGTTGGTTCTCTCCTCCAATTGCATGAAAACTGAAGGGCAATTGTCACAACTCCAAAGCTTTTGTATCAAGCATTGTCTGCACAGAGCAATCTCCTTAGCTACAGGCTTGTTCCCCCGCCGCAGGGCAGGGTGCTACTGGTTTTTTGGCACAAAGGGAGGCAAGTTCGTGGTGGAAAAAGAAACTCCATCCTGGCTGGAACTGGTTTTCAAGCTCTGCCAGCCTACACCATCTCTGGACCAAACAAAAAGGGCAGGGGCTGGCTGTTCTGGGTTCCCATTTGCTGTCCAGGGGAAAGGGGTGAGGAAACTTGCCCCACACCAAAGTGCAACTCTCTTTGTAAGATATGTTAATAGTGGATTTTTTTTTCTGCAATAAAGTTACAAATTCCAAAGGCGTGCCCCACATCGTCGTATTTTGCTATGGTTGAATTAGATGAAATCTGTCTTAGAGAGCCACGTTAATCTAATGTACCTTCAGACTCTCCTTTGTTTCCAATTGAAGCTGTCTTTATTGCCATCTATTGTCAGCTGTAACCCTCTCTTTACACAAATGTCCTCAGAGCCAGTCTAATCCAAGCCTAGTAGCATTAGCACCAGTTGGACTAGATGGTCTTAGTGGTCTTTCCAACTTTACCAACCTTAATGATTCTGTGATCTGCCTTGCTTCTTTCTGTAGTACAAACTGACAAGCAAATTGAAAGGAATACAGATTTACAGCTGAGGTGAGGCTGCCAGGTTTGGAGATGGACCACAGACTGGTTCCATGGGCTTCTTCTCTCTGCCCTTCTCTCCTTCCCTCCCCTGGTTCGTGGTTGGAAGGGTGGATAACAGCCCTGTTCTTACCACCCCTTAGAGCAGAGTGCAAGTGTTGCATTGACTCGAAGCAGGAGTGCAGCAGCAAGGCAGGGAGGCACAGCAGTACACTGCAGTAATGAAGGCTATGAAATGGTGCACAACCTGGGAAGCTTTCAGCCCATGGCCAAGCAACATTCTCCTTGTATTTCAGGGAGAACAGAAAATGCCTACTGCCTAATTCAAATACTGAGGAAGGAAGCAGGAGGCTGCATGCCTCCATGTTATTTATATTCAATTTCCATAACTAAATTCAGTAAAAATGCAGATTTCTCATGGGGGAAGAGAGATGAGTTTTAATAAGTGTGCCTACTGAACCCCTGCCGGAGATGTTCCCATCCAACTGCTGCTCTGCTTTGCTGCAGAGTGAGCTCTTCAGTCCTCCCTTCCACTCCCCACAAAGCCAAAAGAAATCATATTGTTCCTGATCATGAAACAGCCAAATATGTGGTCCTGCTCATGTGTCACCAAGCAGTAAGCAAAGCTGGAAGACCATGACTACTAACGTGAGAGTTCCTGTCAATATTAAGCTTCCTAAACTGTGGGTTTTTTTTGTTTTGTTGGTAATTCTCCAGAACTCTGTAAGATGATCAAAGCCTTCAAGCTTCCCCATACAACCATATTTGAATGGTTATACTTCCATGCACAAATGCCGTTTCCTCACAGATCTGAGAAAACCAACTCTTCCCCAAAGCACAGCTTGAGGACATGTCAGAATGCAGAGCAGCAGCAGCAGCCAGAATGGGACATTTCCATTGTGGCTGGGGATACACAGCTTGCAAACTACATCCTCTGCCACAGCAGATCTAACATTAATAAGCTTTTGTAAGCAATCATTAACACAAGGGAAACATAGGATGCCAGACGGTGTCAAACTTGACAGATATGTGCGTTTTGAAGACAAAGTGATCAATGCACTGATCTGCAGGCAGCCTGCACAGCCTTCTGCGTGCTTATTCCTACTTCCTGCCTAATAAATACACTTGAAAGACATCCTTAGCCCAGGTCTGCTCCTCATGCACCAGCAGTTCAACAATGGTTAGCCTCAGTTCCTCTGCAATTATTTTTCTTTTGAAAGACCCATCAGCCAAATAACTCCCTGAACCACAAAACCAGCATGATCTTGATCAGACGAGCGGTGGTCACAGCTGCAAGAAAATAAGCGTGTTTCTGTTCCTACTGTTCAGCTCCTTCTCTGTTTACAGGTAGGCCCAATCCCCCACCCACAGTTCAAATAAAGAAAGAGCACAGTAAGTTACCACAGGTATCCTCCCAGCCATAAAACAGGTCTCCCTGTGATGAACTGCCCAGAATTAATACATCCCTGCAGCAGAAGCCTTTTGCTAAGGCTCTTTGAACTATAATGGAACATCTGTTGACAATCTCCCGCAGGGGAACTTCTCCCCTCCCCTGTTTTAATCCTCTCTCCTTCAGAAGTACTTCTGCTCTGAAATTAGACACACCAGTTGCCACAGATTGCCATGGAAAGGCATAGAAAGGTTTTCTTTACATTGGTCTTTCCTGGGAGCTGCAGGAAGGACGACGAGCAGTCACAGCCCTCTTTGGGATACTCCTACCAACTGCTGCTATGTCTGAATTGCAGAATTCTAGGCTCTGCTTGGAACAAGGCAGGGCTCATGGTTTGTGGAGCATGCCTTTCAGCTGGGCTTGGGGATTCATTTGATTCTGACTCCGAAGAGTTTTACCAGGGACAACTGCAAATGCTGGCTGTGCCTTCTGGTCTTACGTGGGGACACGGGGAACAAGCCACTGGCCTCACTTCTTCCATTTCCTCATTGATAACCTTGGGGAATGGAAAATCATTTTCACTTTTTTTTTTTAAAGGATCTCAAACCTTTCATGCAGAAGGCGGTTGGGCACAAGGCTGTTTGTGGCTGGCTAGCAGAAAGGAAACCTGTTTCCTTTTTAACAAGGGGCTGAGAGGCATTGGCACAACGGCTCACTTTCTCCTGCTGCCCTACCTGGTGCCCACAGCGAGTGACAGAACTGTCCTGACATTCCAGCCACCCAAGCTGCCCTTGATATCCTCACCACGACCTGCTAACAGCTGCTCACATACTCAGGTCCACTGTAAGAAGCAGAGTTGAACTCTGGGAAGCAGCTGTTCCCTGGTGAGAGAAGACTAACTGATCTCAGACAGCTTCAAAGCAAAAGCCACTGTTGGTGTAACTGAGTGAGATGTAGGCCACAGAAGCAGCTGCTGCCTCTGCACCCAGGCTTGTCTGTGCTCTGGTTCCAACCCGTTATTTGCTGCTCTCAGATTAGCAGCACCAACCTCTGCTTTTCTAACCAGTTTTAACTAAGCTCTGCTGTGCCCACTTCACTTTCCTCAATCTGTGCCACATTCCCATGCCTTTCATACTGACTGAGAAGTTGGCACCAAAGGGAACGCCACAGATCTGTCTCCTGCACTATCCCATGTGCCAGAGACAACCTTCCCCATTGAAGAAGCAGTTCTCTCCATCCTCTAAATTAAAGAAGGCTTTTTCGGATCAATTTGAAAGGCCACACAGATGTAGTTCAGGCAAGGCAGGTCACTGCTGAGATCATTTGCTCCGGTGTATTTCTGGCCTCTTTTCCTGCACACACTCCTCCAGCTCAAGATGCAGTATGGAGATATCTCTACAGCCTACAGCACCAGGAAGGAATGGGCCTTCCTCAGACTCCTTACCCCATGTGCCCCAAGAACAAATGCTGACTCGGTGTGGATTGCAACCTCTGTCAAATTCTAATACAAAAACATCCTCATTCAACTTCTACTGAAATAAAGAAATACCAAATATCATCCCCAAATACTATGTGAGTTCAAACTAAAATAGATGTCCATGTATCCACACAGCTACAGGGTGCTCCTGCTGTAATACTGGTCGGGGTTTCTACTGATACAGTGACAGAGAAGCATTATTAGAGGAAGGATGGTGCTTCAGCATCTGATTGGCAAAGAGCTGCACAGGAGTCCATACCTGGCACGCGCCTCAGAATAAATGCTAGAAGGAAAAAATCTGACCCCTTGGTATGACATGGCAGCTCCTTAGGTGCTGTCCTCACAACAACCTGACATCTAGAGATGTCAGATCACAACTGCAGCTACAAAGCAGTTAATTGTTGCTGGTTTGCTAGTGAAGTCTGAGTCAGCAGGATTAGTAAAACAGGAAAACAGAACACAAGGCAGTTTAATATGCCTTACAGCCTCCATTCACAAGAATCTTAAGCATCTTACTAAAGTAGGGCATGAATTTTTTCTTTTAAAGGAACATTAGCCCTTTGTTCCCGATTTCCTTTAATGCTGAGCGTTAATGAAAACACAAGGAGGTTTTATATCCTAAAAGCAAGGCAGGAATCCAAAAGGATAAAGAGGCTGAGAGATGAACCTTTATGAAGCAAGCTATTTCCACCTTCCTAATCTCACTGGCTGCATGTCAGCACCAAAACAAAGATGGAGCCACATTAAAGAGTGGTACCTTGGAGCTGCCGGAGGAAGTGATAAGCATCACAATTGGCCCTCACACGCAGCTTTACATTACCCTGACACTAGATGGGGGGAGGATGAAAGGAGACACAGGCGCACACACGTTACCTCCGTCCTTGGCAGAGCCCAGAGCAAAGGTTTAGCTGTGACCTGAATGCTAGTCTGCAACTCCAAACCCCGCTGCTTTCATGCCTTTACGTGCCTAATGCTCACCCCCAGCAGTAGTACCGGACACAGCAAGTGCCTTCGTCAAATCATCTGTATGAACTCTGGAATGTCCTGAATAGCAGACATGAAAAGCTTCTGTAGACCCCACCATTTGCATTATTGTGACAAACATCTGTAAGCCTTGAGAGTACAGGCACTTCACTCACCTTCAAGCACGTCACTCTCTGCAGTGCTGGAAAGCCCACAGGAGCTGAGGTCTTTGAACTTGAATTCTGAGATAGAATTCCCACCCAAAGATGGAGAAAACCACTTTGCCTCTCAGCAAGTTCCTGCTTCTCCCTAAAAAAAAAAAAAAAAAAAAAAAAAAAAGGAAGCAGCAGTTCAAAGATTAAGCTGCTGAACCTAAGTCTCCACTGCCCACCTTTTCTGACAGCTCTTATCATATGGAGAAACTGCTGCCATTCTCATTTAATTGCATTTTTTTTTATTGCACAAGCACAAGCAATGGCATAAAGCAGATGGCAAATCCCATGATACACAAACCTTGGCAGGAAAAATGCACAGGGACCAGATTTCATCTGTCTTTGACCAGTGGCCCCAACCAACTAAATCATGCAGGAGTAAAACACAAAGCCTAGGCCAGCTCATTTCTGCTCCAAGCCACAGTCACAATGGCAAACACTTCCAGTGCAGGAGCCAGACTGTGTTGGGAAGGAACAGGACGCCTCACCTGACAAGTTCACTAAACCAGAAGGTTAAAATATCACATCCCAGATGTTCTGTTTTCAGCAGAAGAAGCATCTGGCAGCAGAACACCTCCCTCCTCGCTTAGCCCCGCTATCTCTATTGTACCAGTCCTGTTATCTTAGTTGTGCCAGCCCTGGGAAACGCATTACAACAAAACAAAGCAAAACCAAGAACGATACATTGGTTAGAAGCAGCTCAGCCCTCTGATCAGATTCACAGCGCAACAACGGCAGCGGCAGAAGCTCCTGAGGCAGTGTGCCATGAGGCCAGGGCAGGAAACAGCAGAGGGGTGGGCACATTTCATGCTGGTATTGACAGCAAAAATTCATCCCAGGAAATCACAGCATGACAGTGTGACATAACATGGGAAGGCCTTAGGCTCCTCTAGAAAGAAAGAGGAAAGAGATATTTAACCATGAGAACTGCAGTGAAGTTCCGTTATTGCATTAAACATCCCACCAAATTGATCCAATATCCTTTATCGAAGAAAACCTAATAATAGAGCTGCACTGACCTCCACGCTCAGTGTGCACTAATGCTTCTCTACTAATAAAGACAGGCAGTCACACGCTTATGGTCACGAGCAAGAAAGATCAGAAGAGCAAACAAGGAAGTAAGATACTCTTTAACTCCATCTCAGTCACCAAACTGCCACGATTTGTGCCCTGTGTTCCTACCTAATGCAGGGCAACAGCCCCTTCACTGGGTCAGCAAGAGGTTTCAGAAGCTTTGGAAGGAAAGCAGAAGGAAAATCCCTTATGCTACAGGCAATACAGCGTTGTGGCTTGGTGATATTTATTTACTGTCCTGGAGAATACAGAGAATAAAAGCTCCTTTTGTGTGAACACTACATGACGACACCCAGTCACGCTATTGCCCATGCAATGGCAGCCCAGCCTGAGGGAGGTGAATGGGTGTGTTGTGGTTTTACTAAAAATAAAATGTATATATATACACCTGTGACATAGATCCCTCCAAATGACATCACTGCTTCCCCTCCTCCCTGAGTACTGATGCTTGTTCTCTGGATGCTTTTTTACCATAACATGAGGCTGCATGAGAAAGCAAACTCTGGGGGCAATGACATGAATCTCTTCCTGGACCTGTGACCACTCAGACAGCTGATAGCTCTCCCAGGGCAGCTGGGGTCAGGCAGAGAAGGGTACAATTAAACAGGGTCAGAAAGACCTAAAGATCTTCAACAAGGAAGCTGAGACATTGCTCTTATCTCCAGGGAGCAGTCAGGGCCCTGGGGTAGGGGCTGGGGGAGCAGGGCCCAAACTAGGAGAAGTTAGTGACACAAGTTTAGTTCCCACCAGCAGAGCATGTGAGGGAGGAGTGAGATGGTTAGGGGAACCAGTGAGCCAACTCAGATTTTGTCAGCTCAGCTCTAAGGACAGCCGGGAAGGGAACAGCAAGTGCTCACAACACCCACACAGAATTAGCTGAAGGTGCTAACTCTCAGGGTATGTCTATTAGTCTGCCATTCAACCTCCTTGCTGCCAGTCTCAGGGCTGAACGTTTGCCTGCACCCAGCCAGGAGTCCTGCACGAGACAGGACACACACTCAAGCTGTACCCACGTGGAGCTTTTCCAGTTCAGAATTTAAAAAGAACACCTCGCCTCACAAGGCTGACAAATCTACAACCTTCAGCATCAGCAAAAACAGAACCACGCCAGCCACAGAGATTACCTGTGCCCCACAGGATAAATACTCTCCTCAGGCAGGTACAAAGGGCACCATATGGGAAGCTGGCAAACAATGGCTCTGAGATGAGAGACCAGACCTCAGCACCTCTGAGCTTGCCAGCGCAGGGCCCACGAGAGCTGGCTGAGGCAGCGGCTGTGCTGCGGAGCTGGGAGCAGCAAGCAGCCAGCTGTGGCACAGTCCTGCAGCTCCCAGGCAGATATTCCCCTTGAAGCCCAGGAGCTGCACAGACTTGGGAATCCCTGGAATCCCCAGAGATGTATCCGCTATGCCCAATGTGGCTGTGCAAGTATCCTGCTGCAGCTGGAGGCTTCCAGTGCTGCTCAGTGCAAAAGATACAGTCCATTTATTGGCCTTTCTCTCATTTCAGCCTGTATCCTCATACCTTCAGCTTTCTTCTTTCTCTATTCTTCTATCAAATCTTTTCCAATTCTCCCTTTTGCAAAGATCATCCACTTTCTGCAACAACTCAAAAAATCACCTACTCCATTTTAGCTGCTATATCAGGACATTTACATTATTCCTCACTGATACATGTGCTGAAAACACCTAACTGCCCTCTTCACCAAGACCCCCAAAAAGGCTCTGGCTAAGCTATACTATGCATCTGATTTTCCATCTCTGCTGCCAGGCAAAACCTAACAAAACAAAATCCACCCACAGCTCTCCCAAAGGCGAGGGATGGATGCAGAGCCTGCAGGCAAGCTGCACGCATGCTGTCCTCCCACAGTTCTCCCAGAGCACAGCGTGGAGTCACAGCAGACTTCTTGAGAATCAGTGCAGGAAAGAACACAGCCAGAAAGCTGGAAATACAGGAAAACATGGAGAAGAAAAATTAATTCTAAACAAGATAGATGTAACCCTTCAGTCCTCCTCCTACATAGGGCACGGTTACAAGAAACAGCTCCTGGAGTTCTAGCATAAGGGAGCCCCATGAAGGACATCTGTATATCTGAAGACCATCCCAGAGATCTGGCAGATCTGAAGCAGAACTCAGGACTAACAGCAGGAAAAGACTACACTAGAACTAATGATGAAGGTTATGGGAAGCTGCTATGGAGATGACAGTAAGAAGCCCAGATCTCAGGCTGGGTATGATGGTAGAGAGCCGGGCAGCTGCAGAGGATACATAGATTCAGATAGAAAAAGGCGTAACACAGAGCAGCTGCCCACACGACCAGGCAGGGCTTTGTTAAGGAGAAAGAGAAATACTACAATATAGAGCAATATATGTAGGTTGCTCTGAAAGTGATGCCTCCTATTTATTTCCATAGGAAACACGACAGCTCTAAAGAACACAAGAATGCTATTTGATAGAGCAAATACTCAGCTACAACACACTCTTTTCCCACCACAGTCTCCACCAGCAGCTGTGCATTTCCACCAGAAACGACGCACCACGCCATTCTGTCAGACCGCCCCTCTACTGCCATCTATTGTACGGCAACGACACGGAACGGGACACGGGCGGGAAGTTCAGCCTGTGCTGCCGTACCACCGGCACCCGCCTCCAGGTGCGCGCCGGCATCGCTTGCGGAGCAGCCCTCATAGCACGGGTGGGGGCACCGGAGACCAAGAGCAACAGCCATTGGTGAGGGCTGCAAAGAGGGAAAGTCTGCGCCGCTGCAGAACCCACCTCAGGCAGCGCCTACAGCTCCACAAAGGACACTCGCACCTTTTGGACGCGAAATGAGACTTCCCGCTCGAACTATAAAGCGCACACGGGTTGCAAATGGCGGCGCTCCCAAGGGCAGCGCACTACAACTCCCATGGTGCCCCGGGGCGGCCGTCTCCTAGGAGACGCGGCTCCGCCCCTCCCGCTGCTGGCGGGCCGAACTACCCTTCCCGCGGTGCTCCGCGCGCCATGGAGGAGCGCGTGGCGGAGCGGCTTCGCGGCGCGCTGGGCCCGCTCGGCTTTGAGGTGCACGCCTTCAAGGTACTGACGTCACGCAGGCGTGCGGTCGCCGTGACGTCACCCTCGCTGGCGTCGTGCAGAGAGATGCCGCCCGGGGCGCGGGGTGCTTGGCGAGGTCGGGAGGGAGTCCGGGGCGCGGGGACTTGCGGGCTGCCGCCCCCGGTGAAGGTCAGCCGGCAGCTGCCGCGCTCCTCCCGGCCGACAGCAGGCGGCAGTACCGGCACGGTGCGGGGATGGGGATGGGAGACCGTGTCGTGACCCCGCGGAGCGGAGCAGCTCGGGGCCTCCCTGCTGGCCCTGTGCTGCCGGGGGAGGGCACGAGAGTGCTTCCAAACCGACGGGGTTAAAGTCCTCCGAGCAGGTTTAAAATTTAATCTAAGTTCAGCACCGTACCGCTGTGTAGGTGCCGACTGCTGCGTGGGTTCGTGAGTGCAGATCCGTGTGTGCATCGTATCGCTGTCTGCCTCTTGCACTGCCCGTGTGCTGAGCTCCGTGCTGGGCTTACAGCACTGTATCTCTTTCTAGGTGTAACTGTCACACGCTTTGCTCTGGTGCAGTCAGTGGTGTGAACTGGGAAATGAGCAAACCTTGGATTCACATCTCTGCGATTCCTTTAGCATCTGAATTCAGCTTCTTGAACAAGAGTCACAGAACTGAGTCAGCAGTGAGGCCGATGTGAAAATGCATCTTTATAGTGAACTGAGTTTGCATTCGTGTTTATGTATGTGCAGGACTGGCTGCTCGCGCCACCTCTAATGTCCCTTTCAAATTCACACCACTGACACGCAGAGGTGAGCAGTGTCCTGCAGCTTAAGGCTTCATACCACAGCCACGTCACTGAATGTCAGACCTGGTCTTTGTGGTATCCCAAGGGAGCAGGCACTGTAACCCACAAATAGATGGTGCTGTGAGGCAGCCGCTGCCCTGAGCCCTGTCCTCTCACACCCTCCTGCCACCTCCTCCTGGCCTGACCCCTCGTTGTGGGCTGCGCTAAATCCAGGCCGCAAAGAAATTTCCAGATGCTCTGTGTCGCAGTGTGTGCACAGCTGGTGTGCTGGGGGATGCTGGCACTGCTGGGAGCTTCACTGCCTTTCCTTTCACACGTAAATGCTTCCCGGTGAAGAGATACGCAGTGCCCCTCCTATCGTGGACACAGCTAATTGCAACTCATACCATCTCACTACAGTTCATTGGCTTTAAGCAGAAAAGGACTTTGGAAGCTTCAGCTCTTTTGCTGATTATAAACTGTAGCCCTGTGCTTTATTTCCTACGAGGTCTCCTGCTGTTAAAAGCCCTTTGAGGTCTTTTGGAAATCAGCTATTCAGAGAGGACTGCTTTTGTGGGATAGAGGTTCTGTGAGATTTCTCCTACAGGCAGGGACGTGTGCATGCCGGATTTGAATTCAGGATGAATCTGCTTCTGCTGGCACAGTGCGTGTGTGCTGTGAAAGTGAGTCCTGTTCAAACAGATGGCTGAGCTTTCAGGTCACAGACAGGCTAAGAAGCTGGACAAGCAGTAGGAAATGTGTCCAAGTCGGGATCCAAGTAAGGGAGAAAACAGCTGTAGAAGTTATCTAAACCAAAGCATCTGATTAACCATGGAGAGAATGGTTGCTCAGTTGCTCCACCTATGGTTTCTGAGCAGAGCTGGATAGAAAGGGCAGTCATGAGCTGGATGCAGTAGATGCTTCACATCAAGGTACAGCTTCCAGAAACCAAATCCCAGTATGCAGAAGCACTCGGTGTGAAGGGCCGGCCCAGGGCCGGCTGTGTATCTGGGTTGCAAATTAAAGTGGCTTTTTTTTTCTTTTTTAAAATTCTTGCATATCCACTTGCAAAAGAGCGGTGTCCTTGTTTTAATGGAGATTTGCTTTTCTTTGCTAAAGGTTGGATGGTACAATGCAGTTCTCCAGCCAGCCTTCCATCTCTCCTACCCGGATGACACGCTGGCCTTTGTTGTCCTCAGCACGCCCTCAATGTTCAACAAAGCCCTTAAGCCTTTTGTGAATAAAGAACGGTTAAAAATAATCAGAGACCCTGTGGATCAGTGTGTGTCTCATCATTTATCAAGTGTGAAGGAGGTAAGAGCCTGAAAAGCTGACTCCTTTTAATACTGTGGCACATAACCACCAGCTGGTTTGAACAGTAAACAAAGCCTTCCTGCCCTTCCTGCCCTTGCTCTTGAAAAGGGCAAAGCATCATTCACATTCTGCCTCTGCCAGTACAACCTGTAGTTATGCAGGATGCTTTACGGTCAGAGTTCAACACCCAAAGGTGTGACCATGCTGATAGAGCTCAATCAATATCAGGATGTGGAATGTGCAGGCCTCTCACTGTGCCTGATTTGCTAGTATCCAGTGCTTCTGTAACGACAAATCTTTTTCTACGGGTCTGTGCTGATGTTTTTTTCTTTTTCCCCAGATATTCCCTGACCAGAAAGTGGATGTCATTTTTGATTACGAGATACTGCCAAGCCGAAGGCCCAAGTTCTTGGCACAAACAGCTGCTCATGTTGCTGGAGCTGCATATTACTACCAGAGGAAGGATGTGAAGTTTGATCCCTGGGGGAAGAAGGTGAGGCAAAGACACAATATGAGAAGACACCAAACGGCTATCACCAAATCATACAACTATTTTTACTGATGAGTTGTTCTTGCAGGAAAATACAAAGTCCAGATCCACATAGCTGTGTAGCTAAATGAACAGTTTCAGGCTGGAGTCAGAGGCAGCCAAAACTCTGTGGTGTGTTAGAGGGATGCGTAAATGGAGAAGAATATTTATTTCTTAAGCCTACTTAGAAGAATACACTTCAGTGTTAAAGACCTGCTGACTGTAGCATTGTAAATAGCAAAAAATAGCACTAGTCAATCTCTGTTACATTTTCAAAGAGACCTCTCCCTACATCACAGTATGGTTTGTGTGTGGGCTTAGGAAAATGGAAATCAAGTGCCATGTGCCCAGGGAAGGGTTTTCTTCCCTGAATGACTTTCCAACAGGGAGCCAGAAGCGTAAGAAATTGCTTGACCTCTAACCATTACCAGAGTGAGACATCCTAGATTTTTTTTTTTCACTTCCAGAAGATCTTTGGCGTATGTATCCATCCCAGGTATGGTGGTTGGTTTGCTATCCGGGGTCTCCTGCTGTTCCCAGATGTTCAGGTACCATTCCTGGCACAGTCTGCTCCAGTTGACTGTGTGAGCACGGAGCAGAAAAGAACAGAGCTGCTGGAGTTGTTCAATTTCCACTGGCAGGACGGTCGCTACAGGGATATCATTGAAGTGAAGGAAAGGTACTCTGAGGAGCAGAAAACCTACTTTTCCACTCCTCCAGCAGAAAGATTCAGGCTGCTGGGGCTGACACATTTCACAGAGTAATGTGGTTCTATGAAGGTGCTGGGCACAGGTGAAGTGGAACTCACCAGCACCTCTTCCATGCTGCTGAGGAGGAAGATGTGCTGATAGGGACTGAAAATCCAAGCGTTGTGTACAGCATCTCAATCCAAACTTCAGCTTGTCAGATATAGAAGGAACACTGCATCATGGCACTTACGGTCTGGGGGAAGGTGGAAGCAGTCAGTTCCCTTGCTGATGCTGATCTTTGGGAATCCCATTAAGATACCCATTTATCTGCCTGGGCAAAGTTGAGACACCCTGGCAATGGGAAAACTTGTGCTGCTTTTTGCAAAAGTTATGTTTTTCCCTCAAGAATGTCTTCTCCCAGTGTTTTTGTTTTATGTAAGAGTTAAAAAGTTATTTATTGCTATTGCATTCTGAAATAATTTTTGTTCGAACTCAAGGCCGATACTTTTCAGACGTATCCAGCATTTCATTGCCCTGTGTTGTAGCTCTCTCTAGGGAATGGATGTTTTCAGTCCTCAGAAGAACATTTTTCTGCATTCCCTCACTTCTCATGAAGCTGGCTTATTTTAAACAAGAAATCTTGTAACATCTCCATTCCTTAACCCCTAAAAGGAAATTCTCCAGAGACTGTTTCATTAGTTTGCCTGGTCCTGTGCAGGAAATGGGAGCGAGCAAAAGACAGCAAACAGCAGCAGCCTCCTTCTTCAGGGTAGTTGTGGAAGGCAAAGGGACAGAGTGAAGGTCACAGCTCAAGTCTGATACATTTCCTATTCACTCACGGTCAGCTTCTGCTAAAATCTTGGGGAAGATGCTGCATAATGCCTGGCTTTTACACTAAGATAAATAACAAAAAAGTCAATTCTTGTTACCTTTTTCAAAGGTGGATGAGAATTTAAAGTACTTTCCCGTGCCGTGTCAGTAATACCACAGCTGTAATACTGTAGCTTCCTGGTGTAATTTCTAGATGAAGGAGATCATGAAGTTGCATGCATGTAAAAACCATTACATGAAGTGTTGTTGCAGTTAGACACAAGCAGAGAAAAAAAAACAGGGAAAAATTCAGCCAAAATGCCCCTCACATTGCTGGTTAATACATTTCCAGAGAAACTTTTGTGTGTTTTGTTTTTGTTTTTAAGATTACTGTTGTGTTAGATTTGTTCGTAGGTCACAGTGGCAGGGGAATGAAGAATTAATTTACCTTAGAGAAGTTACGCCTCGTTACAGTGACAGTACGTTACAAGAATGGACGCTGTTGATGCTGAACGATGGAGGTTCTGTTACTTTACTGCAGCGCAGTGCTGCAGAGCGCTGAGCACTTTTCCTCCTTTGGTACCAACATGGCCATGCAGAACTGAGCCCTTCCGTTTGTCTTGTGGCTCTCCTTCCCTCTTGGAGACCCAGGCACTAAAGCTGCCCTCACAGTAAATCAACGCTTGGTGGACTTTTTTGTAGTCTGATAGTGAATCAGCAAAATCCAAACTCAGCATAACTAGCCTGTTATTCCTGTAAACAGAGCAGCAAGCCTGTGATCACTGACTTTGTTCAGTGTTTGCTGTTACAGAAACATGCTGTTTACTTTCATGCCTTGTTCAGCACACAGCTGACAACAATAATCGTTTTTAAGCTAAACAAAATAATTAAATTCAATTGTTTAAATTCTGCTTGTTACAGATTTACTTCTGGTTGAAATGTTGGTTAACCTTCCTGAGGCTCCCAAGTCAACTGGAATTTAACAGGGACTTGAGCTGATGGTTCATAGTAGTCATGTACATAAAATATTGACTCTCTTAGAAGGACAAACAGTGATGTTCCTAGAAGGATAAACAGTGATTCTCTGAGAAGGATATATAGAGAATGGAACTCGATTTATAGTTTTACATAATGGTTTAAGATTAAAAAAATGGTTTTGGTTGATTTCTTACAAATATTAAATATTTTGTCTTATTTCACTCACTAAAGAGATTATTGTAGCAATTTCTTTGTAAGTTTTTGTAATTTATTTCCCATACGTGGTATTTTGGTTAATAAAATGTACAAAGGTGCAATAATCCTGAGAATGGAGTGTTTTTAAGCTATGCAATGATTGACTTGTGGAGCCCTAAGGATGTTAAAGTAAAAATTGATCGCCGTGTATTTAACCACACAAATAATACTGAACTACAGACATTCAAAAGTCAGCATCTGAGAAGAAAAACAGAGAGATCTTAAGATGCTGTGAACTGTTAAGGCCAGCTCACCTGGGACACTGAAACACAGCGCATCAGGAATGAAGCCTAATAAGCGTTGATCTTTACAGGGCTGTTTAAGTCAGATGCTTTAACAAGCAGCACATGACAAGGCACCTCCATTTTCTTCCTGTGTTCTGACAGTAACAAAAAATCAGATCAGGGTGTCCAGCAGTAACTCAGCTGAGGGGTTTTCCTCTCAGTAACTAAGAAGCAATACCTGTAATTACTGGAATTCGTTTAAAAACATATTAGTGATGTATCAGGTAAGGGCAAATCTGTGTTCTTGATGCTCCAGGCAATACAGTTATGTCAGGCAGAACAGAGCAAATACTTAACTCCATATTCAATCCTGCCATAGTAGTTTTGGAGTGAATTCTGTTTGCTTCTACTGCCTTTCAGCCAACTCTCAGCACCACAGCTGCAATTGCTCTCCTTGCTGGGCTGTGCCTTGTAAAAGCAGAGCTGAGAACCTGTTTGACTTCTCACCTCTTTGACAAGACCAGACCTGGTGAGGAACAGATCATTTTGGATCCTGAGGCAGCATAAAGACATTCTTATCTGAGGGAGTTGCAAATGTCAAACAAGTCATTGCAAATGTTTAGCCAGATGATTTTAGCTACTGCATTTTACGTAAGGGGGGTTGGACACCATCTCTGGAGGTCCCTTCCAACCCCTACAATTCTGTGTGAAATTTTCACTAAATTCTCATTTTTAAATATTTAAGTTCTTTTCTTTCTCACTATAAGCAGCAGGGGGAGCATTTAAGACCTGAGCAGTAAAGAAAAGTAAGAAGATATCGGACTTTCAATTCACATTTCACAAGATATTCCATATGTTTCAAAGTAATCAAATATTTTGTCATTTCTTCATGTGCATAGCATTAATAATTTACCTGCTCCATCAGTACAGGTTAATGAAGTCAGAAATGAAGAAAAAAATGGTGAGATTTTAAGATTAAATCTGTGACAGACAATACTGATTAAATGCAAAGCACTGTCTAATCTGGTGACAAGCAGACATGGTGATTCTTCCTCAGAAACAAGAAAACACTCCAGGGCCTATTTTTTTTTTTTTTTCCCCCAGTTAAACCAATTACTCTTATCTCAGTAGTGCAAGAATAAACACACTGGATTGACTACAGACTGCACTGAGGACTGTGTTGCAGAGCTGCTTCCTGATGCTGCTGTCTAAACGATAGGCAGCAAGCAGTCAGTGTGGCCATCAGCACGCTGTTCAGTTCCAAGCAAAACATGCATTTAAGAAGCCTGCTTTCAGGTGCAGTGGTTCTAAAGCCATTCTTGAAGAGGAAGTGGGTGTTGCTATTTATTACAGCAGAGAGCCAGCTTTAACTCTTCAACCTTAACCATCACATTCATCTACCAAAATGGACAAGTATATTTTGGCTTCCCACCATACCACATATCTCACCATGGATCATCAATATGTTTGCTGCAGAATGCAAACAGAGCACTTCCCCTTGATGTTTTCAGGGAAGGAATACAAATGTCTTTCTTTCTGCACCTGAGAACAGGTATACAGTGATAATGCTTGGAGGAACAGCCCTATAAAGGAGAAAACAGGAGTAGTAATTTCTCTCCAATGACTGGCATAGTCATGGGAAATATGTAGGAAGTGTAACAAAAATGAGGTTTTGCCGGAGATTGAAAAATATACATCTGAACATCTGAAATCTCTCCAAAAATATACACCACAACCCTTGAAAATGTGACTTTCTATCTGTAAGTATTCGACCTTCCACCTTCATGAAGAATACATGTAATGTCAATGAAGGGGAATTATATCCACAATACATTTCTCATGAGAATTTTGATATTTTAATATTCAAGCACAGCTTGGCAAGCAAACAATTTCATTTTTAATAACAGGGTATTGATTGAGAATCAGATGTCTTGTACAAAATTTCTGGAGGCCATTTTTGTCCCATGCAAAATAAAGGATGGGGTGGGCAAGTCCCTGCAGCTCAATTAAAGCAGGAGGAGGCGTGGCTACATAGGTTGAAAAATCTGAATAGAATCTTAACGCAGAATCATTAGTTTCTCTATTAACGCATTAAAAAAAATCTTTTATATTGCTTTAGATTCTCATTTCATGCTGTCACCTTTTTTCTAGTACTACTCAGAAAAGTCTCCCTGAATTCCTCCACTGCTTCAATCATCTCAGCAGGCTCTTTCCCTAGCTAGAAACAGTATTTGTGGAAAAAATGAATTTTGATCAGTTTTATCTTTCCCTGACTTCAGTTGTAGATAAAAGGCTTTTCTCTCAAAGGACATTTCTCTGTCAGTATGGATATTTCAAGACTTCATGTAGATGTGTAGTCAGTATCTGTTACAGAAACACTATAAACCACAGTACACTCATTCGGTGATATAAGTTTCAGCTGAAAGAGCCAAGTTTCGTGTTGAAGTCCAAAGCCATCATCGCTAGGTGTGGTGGGATGAGCTTACCTCAGCAGGAACTGCCAGCAGCGCAGCGCTGCCACAGCTCTGCAGCCGCCCAGCTGCACAGGCTTGTCCATTCACAGCACACACGGAGCAGAGCTGCCTGCCCAGCCCACCTATGGCCTCACACAGCCCCTCGGCACTTCTTACTGTTCCCTTGCAAAGCTGAATCACAAAGTTTCCATTGTAAGCCCTCTGTAGCTTAATCTGTCCAAGATACTTCAGAACTTACACAGGCTGTCACTGCTGAACAGCAGAGTAACTGAGAGTTTTCATAGAGTACATCTCTCAAACCATGAATGCAGTAAGACCCACTGCTCTTCTGGTCTATATTAAGGAGTACAACTGCCAGAGCTCACATCCTTTTCTAACCAAACGGCATCATTTCACAATAGTTGTGTTATGTAACCCACCTGCTTTTGTTCTTAGAACTGCATTGATTTGTTGGAAAAGCCAATAAAAGCCAATAAAAGAAAATCCAAAGGTCCCACAGAAAGGCTGGAGTGCTTGTTAAGGAATCGACTGTTAAGATTTTCTAAAGGAGTGCTTTTCAAAAACAGATGGAAACTCCTTCTGTCAAAGTGGCCCTTTTCATCTACGTAAGGAAAGCGCTTAGTGATACCAAACCAAGTGTTCCATTGCCAATTTGAAGTAACCTGCAGAAAACCTAGCATCTCACATGGCCGAGGGATGAAGAGAATCTTCAGTTGTATGGATTTAACTGCATTCGCTCCCACGTTTAGCTGGCTATCCGGCACAGACACGCAGCAGTACAAACACAAGGCAAGCTCCTGCCCCACACGTGTTCAGGGCTGTGAGCTCCTGCACTGGCCGCAGCTCGCTGCACTGGGTGAACACACTGCGGAGCGCCTCAGCCCGCCCACCGCACGGCGCTGTTCAAAGGAAGCCCCGCACGCCAGAGGAGCCGTTAGGCGAGCGAAGGCGGCAGGCGTTTATCGGGACTTCCCAGGCCGGCCCGCCCACCGAGGCGCCCCGCACCCGCAGCCACACAGCGACCAGACTGCGGGGAAATGGCGGGCGGCGCCTCCCGGCGGGGCGGGAACAATTCCGCCGCCTGAGGGAGGAGGGCGGCCCAGGAGCAGGGACTGCCCGCGTCCTGTGGGCTGCACTAGACGTCATTTTAGTTATACCAGAGAAATTAAAAACACAACACGTTCCAATAGCCTGAAGCACACAAGAGCCATCCCAAGGACTGCTGTTACCAATTCCCGCATACTTTAAAGTTTACTTTACTTACTTAAAGTAAACAGAGCACAACACAACTGAAGTTTGACACCAGACCAGCTCTGACCTCCCCCATTTCCCTTTCACGAACAGGGCAGAACTTCATGTTCAGTATTGCTTCAGTACTGTTCACTTACCTTGAACCTCATCAAGCATCTATACACAACTCCCATACAACTACAGCTTTAAATGCAGGCGTTTGCTTAGACCCTGCAGCCATTACTTCAACAACCTATGGATGTTAGTTAAGATGCTCTGATGTCTCCATGGGAAGAGTCATGTGGGCTCTAAACACTAAGCAAAGTGATGCAACTGAGAATCATTTCACTTGAGAGTTGGATCTTCACAGGTACATAAACATCACAAGGCTCTAACCCACTTGCACTGCAAAGCAATAGCTCCTGCTGATCTGAACATCATTACAAGGCACCTTTAACCATGAAGCCACATGGCCAATGCAGCTGTAATTAAGTTTAAGCTAATCAAGGCATATGACTATGGCCTTATGTGCACATTATAAAATTCATTTCTGGTACAAAGATTAAAGGTGAGGCTGAGCCAATCCAAGTTCATAGCATCACCCTTTTGATCTTCTCCAGCACCTTGCAGTCATATGATCAACTAGCATGTTCTCAGTCCTCTCAACTCCATGTTGTGTATCCAAAGAAGCCACATCATATATCCAAGGAAATCTGTTTTCCAGGAAGCCCAGTATTCCACTCCTCTATTGTCTTCAAACTGGACATTAAGATTCCCAGAGTTTTTGCCTACGCAATCAAATTTAACCAAAATAAATGCAGAAATAAGTTTACACTGCACATTAAGACTTGCCTGGCCTCTGTCAGCCACAACAGGGCTTCACACTCCAGGCACTGTGGCATTTCTTAACCCTGACAGATCCAGGTCAAACTGTGCTGCTCTACATTCCAGATTTTTCTTCTGCCAAGAACTTTCCTATAGAAACACAGAACTGAGGTGTTAGTATCTCCATTGCAATGCAGCTGCAGAAGGCCTCCAGGAATCAAACTGTCTACAGACAGTTCAAGAGACTGAGCTGCGAGACCATGATCTTTCACCGCTATTCAGAAGTTGTCTTTCTGAACCAGGGCATCACAT